ATGTAAAAAAAAAAAACCCCAACAAAAACCAAAAAACCCTAGCGAAACTGGAGGTAGATAGTTACAAGTTTTTTTTTCCAGTCGCTGTTGCCGTGTCCTCCTTAAACGGCCCAGCAGTCTTCCCGTGCCATTTGCAATCCGTGAGATTTCGGGGGGGCTGCCCCATTCCCGTTTGGCGCTGCGTGCTGTGGTCCCGGTTGGCAGGCGGGAGCGAGGCTCCCTGGGCATGACCCTGGAGACCCTGTGCCTCAGCGAGCACGGGTAAGGGACCCTCTGCTCGGGCACAGGGAACAGCTGTACGCAATGGTGTCGAAGGACTGAGAAGGGTTTTCGCGTTGAGATTCTCCCACTCTGGACGCTTTTACCCAGGCTGAAGCTTGCTGGGGCCACCTTAAAATTTTTACACGTGGGGACTTTTTGTTGATCTCAGTCTTAACTTTGGCATACAGAAGGCAGCAGCGTTCATCGGCAGCCGGGAGAAAATGGGCGGCAGAGACGGCGGGTTTATAATTAAGACGACCGTAAACTTGTTGTGAGCACTCTTGGGTCGCTCGGTTTAATGGATAATTCCGTGGCCAGGCTTCAACTTGGGCATTGCCTCCTCTTACGGGTTGGGGGGGGAGTGCGAGCTGATCGCTGTTTGCTGTTAGTGTTAGGCCGTAGGCAAATAGTATAGAAAGCTTGCCTAAGAATTTACCGTTATTCTTTAAATATTTATGCTCTGTGCTGAAAATAAGTTTCATCTGTTTGTATTTACTACATTTAGGAGATTTGTTTTCAGTGTTAGATGTGTTTGGAGAATAGCTGTGAGCTGTTAAAGTGTTTGAAGCTAATAAAAACTACTTTCTTTTTAGTTAGCTCTTATTTATAAATTTGAGATCTATTTAAGGAATTGTGTTGAGTTTATTTTGAGATTCACGAGTTGCATTTTAAGCTGAACCCATGCAAAGATAGCAAACTTTCTGTTTTGTGGTGAGGAGGTTGTCTAACTCCTGGACAATAACAAGCTGCTTAGATTTTGTCTGGCTGGTAGGTACCGCCTTTGAGAGCTGGCTCAGGAGGCTTCGGTACCTGTTGTGGGTGATGCATCCGAACCTGCAGAGAGAGAGGGAACTGACTCGGGAAAGGTGATCAATGTCCTTCTCCCCTGCCCTGCTCAAGATGTAATTAAATACCAGGGAAAGTTACCTTCCAAAATTTGTAAATTGGATACTTTAACAATTTTTATGCTTCCTTACTTGCTAGGATGGGTAACAGAGCTAGAGAGTGTGTTCAGAAAGGTGTCTTGTGCTGTAGTCTGATTCTTAGTTGCAGGCAGGCAGACTTACCCCTTCATCCAGGTTTAGCAAAGCTTTAAAAAATGCACTTTCTTGTTACCAGTCAGAAATTTAAAAAAAAAAACAAAAACCAAAAAGCAAAACCCCCCAAAAACCCCAAACCAAAAAAACCGAAACAAACAAACAAAAACCCAAAAACAAAACCAGTGGGTTTGAGAAGGATGTGGCACGTGTCAGTTCATAGCTTGATTTGCTGTGCTTTCATTGTCAGGGCAGCTAAACCAGGTTCACCAGGCTAATGGTTTAGACTTTATTTTTTAAGCTGTTATTAAAATATCCTTGCCGTGCTAACTTTGAATGCTTCTGATCTTTTTATAGCTAATGTTACAGTAATGGATTCCAAAGAATTGCTTAACTCGTCGGATCAAGACGAAACACGGAAAAATGCGCTCATCAGTACCAAAGGAGGGATTGTGATGGACTTTCATCCACCCTTCAGGGGTGGAGCTACTGTACAAGCCCCTGTGTCTACATCTCCTCTCCCTGTGTCTTCTCAGTCAGATTCCAATCAGCAACCTGCTTTGGCTGACTTTTCAAAAGGATTAGTAAACAATGTGCCTCAGCCAGATCTTTCCAAGGCAGTATCACTCTCGATGGGACTGTACATGGGTGAAACAGATGCAAAAGTGATGGGAAATGACCTTGGATTTTCACAGCAGGGCCAAATCGGCATCACTTCTGGAGAAACAGACTTCAGGCTCCTGGAAGAAAGTATTGCAAGCTTGAACAAGTCCTCGAGCCTGGCTGAGGACGCAAAGGGAGCAATATCTTCTGAGGTGCCACTGGAGCCGGATTTCCCAGGCATGGCTGGCCGCAATGTCCCTTTAGAGTCAGGAACTGCAGTCCAAAGCCAGGTTGGCTCGAATGGTGGCAACTTGAAGTTATTCTCTGAAGACCAAAGCACCCTGGATATTCTCCAGGATTTAGAATTGCCGCCAGTGTCGCCTGGCAAAGAGCCCAATGGGAGCCCGTGGAGGCTTGACCCGTTGCTAGATGACGGTGGCTTGCTGTCCCCTATATCTGCAGATGATTCATTTCTCCTGGAAGGAAATCTTGGTGAAGACTGCAAGCCTCCTATTTTATCTGACACTAAACCTAAAATTAATGACCGTGGTGACCTTTTACCCAGTTCCAAAATGCCAATGCCTCAAGTGAAAACAGAGAAGGAAGACTTCATTGAACTCTGTACTCCTGGGATAAAGCAAGAAAACATGGGCCCAATTTATTGTCAGGCAAACTTCTCTGGGTCTAATCTGCTGGGTACTAAAGTCTCTGCCATATCTATCCATGGTGTCAGTACCTCTGGGGGACAAATGTATCACTATGATTTAAATACTGCATCGCTCTCTCAGCAGCAGGATCAGAAACCAATTTTTAATATCATTCCATCTCTTCCTGCCGGTTCAGAAAATTGGAATAGGTGCCAGGGATCAGGGGATGAGACGTTGGCTCCTTTGGGAACGCTCAACCTTTCTGGCAGACCTGCTTTCTCTAATGGCTATTCAAGGTAATTAGTTTTTGTTGCTCTTTATTAAAATACTACAAGTATGTTTAGCACAACTGCATGCGTGCTGGTTTGTTTGGGTTGGGTTTTTTTTTTTCATTTTGAAGTCAGTCATCCCTTTTTCATTTGTTACATATGGGTGCCTGATCAGACATCACTGGTGTATATTTATTCCATAGTACGATAGTAGCTTTAACCAAGTACTCAACTATTGGTATTAAAGGGAAGAAAAGAGGAGGGGAGCTGGCATGCTTTAAAAAAGAAATAAATGGATAGCAATAAAAATTCTAAGGTACAACCTAGAGGGAAAATTGAGTACGTGGTAGAAGGATCCGCACACAAGGCAGTATAGAAGGAAGGCAGTATAGAAGGAAGTATTTAAGCATATACAAAAGCTACTTCATTCTCAAGGGTTAGAGGATCAATCACTCTGGGGTTTTTTTTCTTCCTAGTTTTACTTAAATGTTATGCACAAAAACAACTTGGTTGCTGGGTAAATTTCTAGAATTACGTTTAAGCTGAACTAGAGTTTTAGCTTTGCTTGGTATTGCATTTACCTTACATGGACAAGGAGATTCAGAGTAGGAAATACTCAGCAGTTTGTTTAATAACTGGATTTAAAGAGATAAGAATGTTTGCAGTAAGATTTAAACGTATCTGGAATTTAGCTCTTAAATAGAACTGCGGGAGGTCTTGCTTATAGGTGTTTTTTTGAAAGCAGGGTATTTTAGGGGAGCTGGTTAGTACGTATTTGAAGTGACTTTGTAGTAGCGTTTCCTACAAGTAATTTGATGGTGCAGATATTCAAGTAAAACATGTTTCCTCTGCCCTTCAGGAGTAAGTGCAATGGTGGCAGCTTTCTCAATGGGTAGCTGTGTACATCTCCTCTCACAGCTGGGGACGGGTTCTGGTTTCAGTATGAACACCTAGTTGTATATTTTCCTTAGCTGTTCTTTGTTTAACATGTACTTGCACAAGCACAGTGTTTGGTCTCAATGGAGGAAGAGATTTTTGCTGTGGAGTCTTAGTTAGAAAATCGTTCTTCAAGTCCATATATGTAAAACCAGTGATTGTAGGCTTTTAATGAAGTATCTGTTTTAACTTTCTTTTTTTATTTCCCTGCTGACAATTGATCCCCAGAGCGTTAGCTGCCAGTCCCGGGGCTCTCCCCACATGTTATTTGCTCCATTTGCCACAGTTGGAATGAGGTGTGTGAGGATTTCTTTGTTTCAGGAAGACAACTTTTAACTTTCTTTTATTCTAGATTTCTTTCATAGTTTTTGATTTTTGTAGTGAAGATGTGGGGTTTTTTTCTTTGAAGTGTTTAAAGCAGTTTGTAACGTAAGGAATCTAGAAAGGAAAATTGGAATTTGTGGATAAATTCCACTTTGATACGTAAATATTGAATGTGCCTTATCGTTTATTTTGACGCAGTAGAAATCCTTTGTGCTAACCTTTTGCACAATCAGTCCAACTTCCATGTTAGCTTGTTTCATGGGGGTTTTTTGGTGTTTTTTTTTTTATTTTGCTCTTGCTATATCTTTAACGGCAATCATCATAAAATCTGTATCAAAGCAAGAAGAACTGTTTCTGAGTTGGAGGTGAATTTCAGTGACTGTTTAAGTAAACAGACTCCTTGTAGATAATGGAAACGTTGCTTTTGAGAATACTTCTGTAAAGGTCATGCATTGTTACTATTTTACAGAACTATTTAGGTAGAACCAAGCGATTTCATAGGTGAATGGTTTATACGTAGATCTTTGTCCAGCTTTTGGGGAATTTCATAAACACTGATTTTAATATATTATGTTTCTGATAATGTTGTGATGAAAAAACCCCTCAAGCTACTAATGTGTCCAGAATACATCTGATCCTAGAGTAAAAAGGACAGCAGTGCTAAATGTTATCATTGGTTTTATGAAGCAAATTTGAGGAGTGTGTTTGTGTTGGAGCTGAGCAGGCAGCAATAGGCAGGCGTGCTGGGGAGAGCTGGCAGAAGCCCTCGGCGGAGCTCCTGTTGTAGGTGAGGGAGCATCCTCAGCATCGCAAGCAAAAGTCAGCCTCCACCACCGGATAGTATTAACAACGTTGTGCTGCAAGTGTTTACGTTCTTGCTTCCTGCAAGGTTGTCTTACATTTTATTGCTTTCTTTTGCCTTAAGATAATTGAGGGTTTTTTTTACTTAATTTAAGGAATGTGTAAAGAATTTTGGGGTGGCTCCTAGTTGAGTTTTGCATAAAAATTCATTATTTCTAGCCTTTACGGAAGCTGTTCTTGCTTCCCAAGGATTTTTACACACTAAAACTACAAAGTCCAATTCTAAAAATAACATTGTTTGGGTTTTCTTCCCCACCCCCCATAAAATAGAGGCAACTCCATCTTCTTTTTAAAATGTTTGAGATACTAATGAACCCTTGGTTTGAAGCAGGAATTCTCTTTCTTCCTGAACATTGTCGGTAATATTTGGTCTAAACTGGGTTAGTTTAAGGTGATGCATTGTGGATTTGTTTGTTTAACTTACAGAAGACTTAACAAAATTGGCATTTGTTTTAGAAACAAAGGAAGGACTATCTTGCCAGGTTCCTTTGGTTTTTTTTTTTTTTTTTTTTTTTTTCTTTTCAGTACTAATTGTGTGAGATGAAGGCTGGGATTTTGAGAATTCAGAATTGCTAAACTTCAGTTTCCAATAGGAAATGTTTCTTGGTGTTGGTAGAATTATTTGACTATTCAGAAAATAATTCTATACTAAACGTATGCAAAGAAAAGCTGCAGTTCTGTTCTGGTGTTCAGGTAGTATTTAATCTGACTGTTTTGATGGAAAGCATGTAATGTCTCTTTATAGACACACAGTCTTGAATTGATGTCATGTAATTTTTGAGTGATTTTGCTTCTAAGGACAGCACAGTGTGCTGTCCTTAATGAGACAAGTGATAATCAGGACTGAGAAAACTAATCAATTTTCCTATGAACAGTAGGAGATATTCTGAAGACAACAAGCAAAATACAAACTTCAGAAATTTGTTCGATATGAATGAATCTGCAATAGTCATTAAATTGCTGTCTGTATCTCAGGGTTGTAGAAGACTCTGCCAGTGCTTGTGCTGATGTGCAAAGCTTGGAGCTGCAGCTCAGTGTTTCAGCAGCTAATACTCAAAATCTTCTTGAGCAGGAGCAAAACTCCAAAGAGGGCAGGGCAGCTTCATTCTGGGGTTGCTTTGGTGAGGTCTCCCATCTGAGCAAGCGAACTGCTGACTGATTGCAGTGGAGTGAACTAAGGAGAAGGTGGATAGAATAAGAGGGAGGAAAAAAGTAGGCTGAGACAATTTGCCTTAGATTTTCTTTAGTAGAAGTGAGACAGCATCTGGAAGAGGAGTAAAACAGGCTGAAAGCATTTGGTAAATGCTTCACTGAAGAATTAGAGGGTTTGATGGTGTCTGATGGGATATTATTTGTGATTTATTACACAAGCACCAGTGAAAACTGTTAAGTTTCGAGGAAATTATTTTAGCAACGCACACTCACAGGACTCTTGCGTGGTATATACATTAAATCCATTTCTCAACTTTTTTATTCCTCTGACTTCCTGGAGATGTGGCTTGTTTTGGGGGGAGTGAAGGACGATGAGAAACAACACAGCGACGCAGGGGTTTCTGTGTGCTTCTTCTCTGAGCCTACAGCCAGAATTTACAAAAACTGGGCCCCACTGGCAGTGTTACGGCTTCTCTTATTACATTTGAAATCATTCCTAGTACTTAAGCTTGTGGGGGATAAGGATCATTAAGGAAGTTTAAGAAAGGGCAAGAGCTGAGAGAAGCCATGAAAGAGGAGGAGAATCTGGAAGGGGGAAAAAAGTTTTGCTGGTCGGTCGCAGTCCAAAGCCTTGCTTCCAGGAGAAGTGCCTTTCTGCTGTCACTCTTTAGCTGGGGTTCTTCTTGGACACGGACGTTTACTAGAAGGAAGGAGGGGGGGGGTGATCTTTTGCTAGAAATGGTAAAGGTCAGTTGTCCATTTGTCTTACTGCATTGTTTCAGTTTGGCTTTTGGCCAAGGCCAGTGGCTTGGCATGGTTGGATATAGTACTTTAAATGTTGTCTGACTCAGCAGTATATAATGTGTGGTACATATGGAAATATGTCTTTTTTTCATAATTCTATTTTGATATAAAAAACAGACTTATTATTTGGAGGGAGTGCTCAGGGTTTCAGTAGTCTATGTTGTGATTTGTCAGCTTAATGTAATACTGTACTTGGGTTTTGAGTCTTGGAAATGCACAACAAAAAATCTAATTGTTTTGGCAGAAAGGGATGAATCGGGAATGTCCTGCAGAATGCGCTATAAGGCATTATGAAAAGGTAGCTAGATAAATGATAGGTCATGTAAGATATAATCCACGTGAGATGTAATCCACTTTTTCAGATTTTAGCCGATCAATTCAGCTAGCTGATAGCTGAGGAGGTTTTTGTAAGTCCAACCCAAATTGTTAATTTCTGCTGATTTATTTCCCCCCTACAATGATCTCTATTTTAAGCCTAGCTCTAGCTTATAAAACACAAGTTGATTTTTGTTGCCATTGCAGTTTTTTATCCATTTTAAATAATGGTTGAACCCCCTGTACTCTTCTGCTGGCAGTGAAAGCAAAACTATAGTTGAACCAGCTCTACTCAGGAATCTTCTCATAAATGTGAAATACATGTATTACACAACTCCTCCATCATATATTTACTGTGTTAAAGATGACTTTTACACAGTGAAAGTTAATTGTCTTGGGGATGCAAATGTCACTTCTTACTTTGACTGTTACTGCTCATTCTGGTAATGAACAAGTGGCTAGCTACTCTGTACATACATGTAACTGTAAACTGGATTATTTCTATATTTTAAAAGGTTACCAAGTCTTCCTTTCTTCCTAGGTCCCCTTTTATAGCCCCCACCTAAGCAGGTGGGCTTTAGGGGGCTTCCTCGATTTGGGGTTTTTTTTGGTTTTTTTGGGTTTTTTTTTTCGAATGTTGCCTGACTTCAAGTAGCAAATATTGTAGAGGAAGAACCTGGCACTGTTGCCTTGAAT